AAAGCATACTTTAATTAGACTTTATATTGTTATACTACATATCTGTAAATAGTATATAGCTTATTTGTAGTCTAATACAGTAATAGTATATATAATGTCACGTGGGGGATCTCTAATTTCTCCCCACAGTTCTGATTGGACATTTGTAAATTCCATCTCTGACTGGACAAAGTAGATTACGTCACTCTTCGTCTACCAATCAAATTATAAGATCAGGTGTAACATAAAATTTTCAGCCTAAATTTTGGTTACAAAACCACCTTTTGTATTCTAACAAAAAAAATTCCTTGCAAAATTTTAGAATAGTATATATCTATTAGACCTTTATACTGTTTCAATGATACTTCCATTATTTGATCGATTTTTCTTCGTCCAATAGGAACTATGGGGAGAAATTAGTAAACCGTCACGTGGGTAGATTAGCACGGAAATATTATTTCTATTTAAAGTAAAAATTTCGATTGAATTTCAATAAATTTCGGCCTTTCTAACTAATCAAAAGTAACAATTCTAACCAGTTTATGCAAGATCTTCGATTCAATTATTTAATTCTTCATATTTAATAAAAATTTTGAACGATTATCATAAAACATTAAGCATTCAAAGAAATCCAAATTTTCCTTGTGTTACAAAAAAATTAGCATGCTCTTGTTAATTTCTTCTTTTTTTTCAGCTTGAGTGAATCGTTCACCTTTCAAAACCTCCGGTGCTAAATATGGCAAAACTCCATAAATATGGCCTTCTTGTTTTTCATCAAATGATATTGATAAACCTAAATCGGTAATATAAGCTTTATATTGCTCTTTTAATAAAATATTACCAGAATGTAAATCTCGATGCATAAATTTCTTTAAATGAATACATGAAAGGTCATAAACAATATCGCTTAATATTTTTAATTTCATTTTCCACTCCAATTTAAATATTTAAGATTTTCACGTAATGACCCAAATTTTGCGTAACTCATCACTAAAATAAAATCACCGGTATAAAAATTTTTTAGATGGCTTCATCAATCATCCTACACTTTGTAGTTTTTCAACTCTCCTTTAATTTGTAAACTGTAATATATTAAACAGAAATGTGTAATTATTTTGTATGTCAAACATTATTACAGTATTTTAGAAGCACGTGTAGTTAACGAAGCTTATAAAATTTAGCTTTTAAATGGGATTTCTTTTAATTGTTAGATTAGGGAGAACATTGCTATTATTCTTTTTTCGTGTTAAGATATGGTATAGAACACAGGTAGACTATGCGGAAATCTTTGTTAAATAGTTTTTATAAACTGTACAGTATTCGAATCAACAAAATAATTATGATATTTAACACATATTTGGATCTGAACCAATCAAAAATGTTAAAACACACAAACTCAGAATCAACTTATATATAAACTTTAAATTATATAGATATTATTAAAAATCTTATACTGTATGCTAAAAACTTTAATAACGCTTGACCATTTATTTTTGATTGTGAAAAAATTTCTCATAAAAAATGATAAAATTTCTATCGCACTAATAGCTCAATATCAAAGATCGACTCCAATTTTTTCGTTATTAGCTAGGATCATTATTTAGCATAATTCAAATATTTGAAAGCCAAGAATGTTGACGAGCTTCTTGAGCTGTTAAACGAAATTCAAGCTCTGCGGTGGTAGCCTTCTCAAATTCATATGCTTTTTCAGAATATGAAATAAAAACTTTTCTAAATAACCTCCCTACCATATAAACATCTGCCTTTTTAGTATATATCTTAGTTTCAATTACTTCTGGTGCCCAATCTTCTAACGGGCCGAAATCTACCCTTTCATCATCAATACCAGCACACTCTAAATCAATTAACATCCAACTATTATCTGTCACTTGAAGAATATTAGGCCATCGGACATCTCTATGAACATAACCTAATTCATGTAAATCCACAAGAGCGTTCAAGACACAACGAATGGCAGCTTTAACTTCTTGTTCTGTTCTTGGCATCCGTTTAACTCCTACCGGGGCAAGTTTTACTTTATATGAATCGTTAACTATCTGTGGATCTTTATAATATTTCGAATATTCTTTGTATTTCGGTATATATCTGTTAATACTGTTATATCGCTGAAGGGATACGTTGAAAATGGGAAAATCCGTTTCTCTATCTCAGTGTCTGTGATAAAAATGTCACCGTATGTTCTCCTAAAGAGTGTCCAAACTGGTACAACGGTTTCTGGTAATAATGATTCCATAGATCGTATAATACGATGGATATTGAAAATACAAATAAGAGCCTAATAGAAATTATATAAATTAATAACAAATAGTTAAACTAAATTCACATTAAACTATGATTCCATTACTTTAACCCGATCCTTCAAGTTGCTTATATCTAATGTGTCCGAAATAAGATGTAAGTTAAAGGACGGATCGATAGCATAAAATTGTAAATGGGAACCTCCCGCTGCATATGCAAGAATATATTTAAGGTCACCGTAAAGGCAACGATTCCATGCTCTCATCTTTGATATGAGTTCCTTTTTCGCATCTTTTAAGCCATCTTCTGTTGGCTTCTCTTCTCCTTTAAAAACAAGAACATCATTAAGGCATTCCCAATAATCAGGTCTAAAACCAGCTAATGTGATTGATGAATCATTTGTGTTACGGTTAGCTTTCCACAGATACTTTGTTCTAAAGTGCTGTCTAAGAACACTCGTTGGGTTACGAAGCAAACTATCCCAATCACTTATTCGAGAAAATTCACTGGAACCAACATCAGCTCCTTGCAATGCTACATAACAATAATTAGACAATTCTGCTGGATGACGAGCGTCCTCTTCATCTAATTGTGTATCCCAAGGACTTTCAATGAAATAGTCAATAATAGGAAAATTACCGGTACACAAAGCTTCACACTGCTTGTATAGAAGTGGCGAAAGAGGAATCTTCAAATTGAAAGGTTGAAGAAGTATTGAGTTTAATTCTGAAATATTGGGTGGAGATTCGAATGGTGTTGCAATCTGTCGACAATATTCAGAAGTATTATCTTCAAGCATACGACGGCGTTTCTTACCGTGCTTAATTTAAAATCAGAGATTAGATAAATTATAATAATAGGTGACGTTATTTAGAAGAGATTAAATGTGTACATGAGGCATTGATGCTAAATAATTACAGAAAAAAAAATATAAGTATTAAATTAATAAGCGAAATGACGATGGAAAGCATTGTAGGTTTTATAAATTCAAATATAGTAGCAATGCTTACACTGTCCTAAAGATAACGTGTGATTTTTGAACAATTTTGATTAGTAAATATGACAGTTAAAGACAAAAAATTAAACAATAGACGTAAATATTTAAATTCTAAATTTTTTATAAGCACCTACTTTGGTTATTTAAATTTTCCACAAATGTCACAACATTTAAAGCTGGCCCAACTCTTAGACCAACCCTTAACGTGAGAATATCTATGTTTACGTTAAGAAGCGCTGAACCATTGAACGAACAATCCACAACCTTTTTGATTTCAGCATCACTAAGAGAAAAGTCTCTTTGTTTGAACTTTAAAAATGCTTCAACAGTTTTCACCGTCCAGTCTTGAATCGCTTTGAGTGTTAAAGTACTTGTAGTAAAGTTAAAGGTGGACATCTTAACATTCCGTACTAACAAAACAAAGCGAAAAATATGGGACCATTGCGCCGAAGGAAATATATAATTTTGAGAAAATCGTGTTTATTTTGTTCGGACTGATCCGGGTCAATCAAAAACTCCGTGATTTGATTGGTTAGTTATATCGGATAATTTCGTGATGTACGAATCTTCTAAAAAAAATTTTTATAAATATTTCAATTTTTTATTAAGCAAATCAATTTCCATTTATAATCGAAAAATGTAGCCCGTCTCGAAATTTATTCGCAACGGCCATATATCTAAACTGGTCTTGATTCACTAAGTAAAAGTGATTTATTATATTAAATCCTTCTATCTACCCTTAACCTAACCCTAACCCTAATATCAATCGATTTTAATTAAAAATCTGGAAAATCGTGATGTACTGTACTGTACCTGGCTTTAGCCATCCCTAATTGGGGCATAACAATTTGCGTCCAGACCAGGGACATGGAAATGATTTAGTGTGATTAAACAAAATCGCATAATTTTACACCATTTACATTATTTCAATGTCAGATTTATGTGCCCGATAAGAATTTTCTCAGCTTGATCAGCTGTATAATTGACTAGTATAAAAACCGATTAATAATATAGTCGAACGAACTGATATCGTATATGTTAAATTGCGAATTAAATTAATTTTTAGTAGTATGTTGAAGTGCGAAATAATCTAATTTTTAGTAGTACGTTAACGAAATAATTAACTTTTAGAGTACAGTCTAACCTTGTTATAGTCACTCTTGATATAGTCACAAATTCGATATAGTCACTAATTTTTTTTTACCAATTAAGTTTATATTGTTTTAACCTATATATAGTCACAAATATGTTATAGTCACTATCATATAATTTTTAAAACTGATTCTATTAAAATTCCCTCAATGTAATCACAAAAAAAATCAATAATGATAAATCAAATAAAATATCTCACAGGTTCGTGAGTAGCTTTCAGCAGGTGTTTCATCTTTCACCAGAAGTTTCACCTTCAATAGGGGTTTTACCACTTCACCAGGATGTTTCGTCTTTGGTCTTTTGCCAGGTTTAGGTTTCGTCTTTCACTATTTGCAACAAATGATTACTTCTTGATATTTTTAATGGTTTATGGAACATTCATGGCACAGGATATATTCATTTCACAGTGGCAACATTTTGTAGAATAAAGTCATTAGTGAAAATGTGCAATCTTGAATCTCATATCTATGATTGTTTAAAATATGATAAAAGTGATTCAGTCATGTCTTAGGTTTTATCTGTGATATTTACACCTTCGGAGTCATTGTGTCATAGATGTCAACCGGACAAAGACCTTTTGATATTACAATAAAAATTTATAAAGGAGTGCAGCCTAAATTTTCTCTTGGAACTCCGGATTGATTATTAAATAAAGCCTCAGGAGCGACATAAGGCATGACACTATATTTTTTAGATAATCCTAGATCTATGATATAAGGCTGCATATTTTTATTAATGCCTTTATCCTTAAAATATTGCCACTGCGAAAGTCCGTATGAATATATTCTGCTTCATGAATGTTCAATAAATACCATGAAATATTAACAAATACTTTTAATCTAGCTTTCCAGGTAAGATTACGAAAATTTTCTCTTGAAGACTTCTATTATCACGTATTGAAATACCAATGAGTAGCCGTTCGTCTCTGTTAGTCTGTATATTTTAAGTTTGCTACCCATAAGAGAACATTTCAATAAACGCATAACAAAAAAAAATGAATACTTGATGGAATTTCAATGCGTTACTAATATAAATCTTCACAGTTTTTAAGAAAAATTTTGTGAACTTACCCGGAAAACTAAATTAAGGCCGTTCTCAAGCGTCTCCCTCAAGGTAATTAGCTAGTGATCGAGGTGACGCTCAAACGCGACGATCAATTGAAATAAAGATTGCGATCGGTGCTTGAGCTATCTTTTTCTCCGATTTCCATTATGGCTACAAAAAAGGCGACCTAAAAATTTAGCACCCAAGACTTTGGTGTTTGAAATTTGACTTCGGCCATCCTCTTAACAATTTCACAAATAACTTATCATTGCAACAACAGCCATATCAACATATTCGACAACGCAACTTTATATTGATTCGTTAATATTAAACGAAGTGATATCGAAACATAGTGAAGCATAAACATAATTTTAATAAAATATATACGACATATAAAAAAAATAATATTTTATTCTTTGAACATTAAACGTCTTTTATTTGTTATAAGAGTAGAATAATTTTTGGTAGCGATGACGTCTTGTTAAGGATCCATGTTACGAAAAAAAATAACAATAAAATGATAATGTATTTGAGCCTGAGCATTCTCTTTGATTACTCTACCAATGATAAATTTTAACCAATCAGCGCAGCTCTATGAAAAAAATTGGTGGTCGCAGCTCCAGGCTTTTTTTAACCGAAATGATGACTACGATCAATTTTTTCGGCTAATCAAATCGTTCGGTTAACTCATTGAGGTAGGCGCTTGAGAACGGCCTAAAATTACTTCTTGATATTTATTTCACAGTGGTAATATTTTG